GAAAAAAAAAATCTACTGGGCTATGCAGTTCTTTTACATACTAGAGGAAGCGGCGCTATAAAACGCATCTGTTGTCCGACAAAGCTGCAATTACAAGTCAGTGGAAAGGCAATCCTAAAAAAACAAAGCACCCGGTAAAAATGAGAAATCTGACGTGCCTAAGAGTCAATATATTGACAAACCAGTACTATCCAGAGCTCAGCAATACCTCAAACCTTTCCAATGGCTATCAGAGAGCAGAGCAGATGCATTAAAACATCGAGATAAGCAGATACGTTGTTCGGTAGACTATGAAGCAAGGAAAGCATACAAATGTTTACCTAAAACACTTGTAAACAGAGGAGCCAGTGGTGATAAAGTGCTGTTTGGTCTTAAGAAGCAAATAGAATTCTATTCTACCACAGCGTTCCCCCTCAGCTAACACCCGCCACAAACTCAGATCCTGCGAAACAAAATATCCCTGATTCCTAAGAAATCAAGTGTAATTTTGGAAGGCAGGTCATAGCGCTGTGCATTCATTTAAATCATTAATCCCTCTCTGTGTTTTCATGCCATCGCACATCACTTTTTCTTTATGGCTATAAAAGTCAAGATGTGCCAGGTTCATAGGCTCATAGAATTTGAGGCCTTTAACATCCTCCAATAGGTTCTCATCCTGAGGGTCATGCACACATGGCATCATGGGATTGTGACCATGTATCTTTCCCATATTGCTAAATGGGGGGTTCTGGCTAGATGTGAGGGGGACCCTAGGAGGGACCCTAATGTGGGAAAGGAGGACCCAATATGGAAAAGGTAGAGAATGACTGATGTAGTCTGACCTCCTGTATAACATAGCTCATCGAATTGCAACCAGTAGCTTGGGGTTGACCTAGATCATCTTCTTTATAAAGAGATCCAGGAGTGTTGTAAGCAAGACATGAGAAGTAATTCTTCTGCTCTACTCCACCTGATTAGGTCTCAACTGGAGTATTGTGTCCAGTTCTGGAGGCCATATTTCAGGAAAGATGGGGACAAATTGGAGAAAGTCCAGAGAAGAGCAACAAAAATGATTAAAAGTCTAGAAAATATGACCTATGAGGGAAGATTGAAAAACCTGGGTTTGTTTAGTCTGGAAAAGAGAAGACTGAGAGGGGACATAACAGTTTTCAAGTACATAAAAGGTTGTTACAAGGAGAAGGGAGAAAAATTGTTCTTCTTAACCTCTGAGGATAGGAAACAAGAAGCAATGGGCTTAAATTGCAGCAAGGGCGGTTTAGGTTGGACATTAGGAAAAACTTTCTGTCAGGGTGATTAAGCACTGAAATAAATTGCCTAGGGAGGTGGTGGAATCTCCATCATTGGAGATTTTTAAGAGCAGGTTAGACAAACACCTGTCAGGAATGGTCTAGATCAGTGGTTCTCAACCAGTGGTCCAGGGCCCCCTGGGGGGCCACGAGCAGTTCCAGGGGGTCCGCCAAGCAGGGCCAGCATCAGACTCACTGGGGCCCAGGGCAGAAAGCTGAAGCCCCACCGCACGGGACTGAGGCCTGAGGCCCTGAGCCCCACCACCTGGGGCTGAAGCTGAAGCATGAGCAGTTTAGCTTCATGGGGCTCCTTGTGGGTTGGGGCCCGAAGCAATTGCCATGTTTGTGTGGTGTTTAGATGTTGCTTGTATTATTAGAACTGGGAGCACTGGCTGTTGGGAGTCTGAAAGGATAGGAAACAGGAAGAAGGGGGGAGGAGTTGAGGAGGCAGAGTGAGAGTTACAGAGGGTGCAGCAGCAGCTTGGTAAAGAGGTTTCCACTTTAAAAATAAAGTCCTGTTGAAGTTTGTTAGTACCTTGCCTGGTTGATACAACAGTTTGCTACCCCCTAATACCGACCCTGGCTTTTACATGGAGAAAATCAGTTGTTGTGACATAGGTGGGCCATGGAGATTTTATATCATGGTAGGGGGCCTCAGAAAGAAAAAGGTTGAGAACCCCTGGTCTAGATAATACTTAGTCCTGCCATGAGTGCAGGGGCTGGACTAGATAACCTCTCGAGGTCCCTTCCAGTCCTATGATTCTATGATTCTGTGTTAAGTCTGAGCTGGTGGGAGAATGAAGTACGTGACAGATGGTGTATGAGAAAGTTGCAGGACTGGCTGGTAGGAGACAGGTCAGGTATGGAGAATATTTGTGAATCATCATCTCTGAGATGGTAGCTGATGCTGTGCAATTATTATAACATTGCAGTTATAATATTATAGCTTACAAACCTTTTGGTAGGAATATAGACCCTCGTGCATCCAGGTTTAAGCCAATCTCTAAATATGAGGGGATAGGATGAGATGGTCATGGGAGGAGATTATCCTACTTCTGCTTGCTGCAGGGTCTCTTTTATCTTCCTTTGAAGGATCTGGTACTGGCCACTGTCGGAAACATGATTCTGGACTGGATGGACCTCGTCTCTGACCCTGACTGACATTTGCCATTTTCCTATGCAAGTGGATAAAATTGCTTGGGGATAATCGGACCTTTTTCGTGAGCACTGAGATAGAATGTTCACAAATCAATATTTTGATAGCCTGTGGCTTAAGCGGACGCCAGCCATCTCAGAGATACAAGCTTCTACATGTAGCCAGTAGGATGGAATATCATACTGCTGGTTCCTCCAGGGCCTTTGGTCTTGTGATAAATGTCTCCACTTTGGACATTTATTACAGTGAATTCTACTTAGAGGTGAACTGGTGAGTAAAACTGGAAAATAACTAGGGTTGGAAGGATTCAATTTTTATCAGTAAATGACAGTAAACGTTGATTTCACCAAACACACCCAAACGGGTGAAAAATAGTTCCATCGATGATAATCAAAATGCATAGATAGGCAAAGTAATAAAAATGCTACTTAGGAACTTAGAGTCAAAATCCAGTGAGTTAGACTTTAGAATGAGGCTTGTTACAAATACACTAGCGAATGAATAGCAAAAACAGGTATGACTTGTTGATTTAAGGATATTCACTTGGCGTATTTTGCCAAGCACTGCTGACAATTTGTGTTTTAACGGTTTATATAACTTTAACTTTTTGAATCTCATCATCTACTGTCATTAAATAAGTGTCTCCCCCCCCGCCCCATAATTTTGCACAACTGGGAAAATTACATCACTAAAAAAATCTAAAAAAACGCTTACAAATCAAAGTCGATATCCATCAAAATTATATATTACAAAAATTTGAATTCTGACAAGCCTAAAAATAACAAACCAAGGCCAGCAATACGTTTTGAATGCGGTCAGTAACCGAGGTAAAGCTCATAAAAGAGTCAAAACTAACTTTCATTTTTACTTCTTCACTAACCAAGTATTCCACCATTCTTTATTATTTGTCTCACAGTAGTGCTAGAAGGGCTAACGGGGTAAGCCTCATTGTGCTAGGTACTCTGAAAACACACAGTAAGCCTTAAGAGTTTGCAGTTTAAATGGACAAGATGGGTAAAGGCTGGGAGAAACAAAAGATTGGTATTCCCATTTTGCAGATGGGGACCTGAGCCACGAAGAGATGAAGGGACTCACCCAAGGTCACCCAGGGAGGCTGTGGCAGAGTCAGGAATTGAGGTTAGCTCTTCTGAGGGTGTGGCGAACTCAGACAAAACTTTCCGAAGGCTTGGTTTTGAGGGGACACCATCTGCTGTGTTGCCACATCTCGTGATTTTATCATGAGCCTCATGATAGTTGGTGTTTTTCTTAACGCCCCAGTTCCTGGAGTCAGGAAGTTCTAGGAAAATCTCAGCTTTTGCTTTTTAAAAAAGAAAGTTTCTAGCCCTTATGGGGCATAAACGTTGAAAATGTCAACGCTCCAGTAAAAAACCCACACATTTATTGTTTTTAGACTCTTACAAGTTTTAGGACGATCTCATGATTTGGGGGGAGGGGGTGACATGAGTTTTGAATGATTAGGGTTGTCAGTAATGCATCTGGCTCATAGACAGCTACTTTCAAATCACACATTTCCTTTCCTATGTTATTAATAACATCTTAGATAACTGAAAATGAAAGAATCTCATTTACTTTATGCTGCTTGTTTACTTTGGGTTTATTATTTTCCTTTTTCTCAGCCAAGACAATGACACCAGATAGGTCAATTTCAGTTTTGTTTACAGTCAGTTTCACCTTGTCTTTACATATTGTTTGTCTTCCAACAGCACTCAGAATGTGCCTCCATAAATTAATGGAGATATCCCATCTCCTAGAACTAGAAGGGACCTTGAAAGGTCATTGAGTCCAGCCCCCTGCCTTCACTAGCAGGACCAAGTACTGATTTTGCCCCAGATCCCTAAGTGGCCCCCTCAAGGATTGAACTCACAACCCTGGGTTTTGCAGGCCAATGCTCAAACCACTGAGCTATCCCTCCCCCCCCCAAGGCAATGGCATATCCCACTAGCCAGTAGAGTATATTATTACCCATGCAACTATTTCTACCAGTCAGAGTTTGAAGGCTTAGTTTTACAAATGCTGTATTTTGGGGGCTTTCATTTGGTTTGATTCTCTGATTTTGGTGCTGTTGCATTATCTGGTATCATGCAACTCTGCTACACCAGGGTGCTCCTTTCAAGAAAGAATGTGTTGATCTTAGTATCGTTTCCCCCAAATCCCCACTGTAAGTAAATAAACAAACATGGTTCATTGTCTCCTCTGAAATTCCTTTAGGCTCTACGGTAACTGCCAATTATTCAAACCACATGTCTGCAAACTCCCAAACAACTGTAGACGTTACTTATTCACCTGGCCCAAAGAGGAAGCAGGTATGTAAATTCCATCTGTACCTCCTCCATTTAAATAGCCACTTATTAATGCCACTGATAATTTACCAAACTCATTTCCATGGGAGGGAGGCAGCCGCGCTTAAGTGTGCTCTGGGTCTTCAGATTTCACATTCAGCTCTCTCAACAGCTTCTGAGAAGGAGCAGGGCTCACTGTTTCTCTCACAAAGCAAAGAGCCCTTCGCACTGAGCAACAAAACCAACTACTCTGCAGTCATGCAGGCTCTCCAGGTTGCTGCCCTATGCCTTTTAATGGCTCTGGAGCCAGTGAATTGCCAGCAAGGTAAGTGTGATTTCATACTTTTCGGGGTTGAACTGGGGGAGTCTTGAAAGTTTCTGGTTAGGAGTGAAATAGCTGATCCATGAAGGGGTTACTCTTTACCTAAGGTTTCAGAGTAGCAGCCGTGTTAGTCTGTATCCACAAAAAGAACAGGAGTACTTGTGGCACCTTAGAGACTAACAAATTTATTAGAGCATTATGCTCTAATAAATTTGTTAGTCTCTTTACCTAAGCAGCAACTACAGGCACTTTCTTTTTAACCAGATGAAGGAGATAGGACTTCAATGCACTTTACGAGATGCTCTGTCTGTGTCACAAATGAATTGCCGAGAGTTTGAAAACAAAGCGTTTCATCTGAAGCTTTGTCTTCTCTGCAAAAAAAAAAAAAGGCATGTTCGCTGTCTTGCTGTGAAATCTAGTGGAGACAAGAAAGACACAGGTAGTTTTTTACCTTGTGGTAGCTCTCTGAGCACAACATTATACACCTCCAATCTGGGGTTTAACTTCATTGAGGTAAACTGCCTGTGCCTTATCTCCACTAGGATTTTTCATAGAGATAGCTCATTGGATATAAAGAGACGCTTTTTTTTTTTTTTTTTTTTTTTTTGTTTTTGTTCTTGGTTTTTTTTTTTTTTGTTACTCTAGGACAGTGGCTCTCAACCTTTCCAGACGACTGTACCCCTTTCAGGAAACTGATTTGTCTTGCGTACCCCCAAGTTTCACCTCACTTAAAAACGACTTGCTTACAAAATCAGACATAAAAATACAAAAGTGTCACAGCCACAATGTTACTGACAAATTGCCGACTTTCTCATTTTACCATATAATTATAAAATAAATCAACTGGAATATAAATATTGTACTTTCATTTCAGTGTATGGTATATAGAGCAGTATAAACAAGTCATTGTCTGTATGAAATTTTAGTTTGTACTGACTTCGCTAGTGCTTTTTATGTAGCCTGTTGTAAAACTAGGCAAATATCTAGATGAGTTGATGTACCCCCTGGAAGACCTCTGCATACCCCCCAGGGGTGTGTGTACCCCTGGTTGAGAACCATTGCTCATGCAGTGAGATCTCCCTAATTCTCATGTTGTTCAATTTTGATCATGCTTGCCAAAAAAATCTCCCCCAAATAGATGGCTTCACCCACTTTTCAGAAAAGACTTAATGGCAGACAGGCCTCCTGCTATTGTGACATCATTTGTTTTTATTAAGTACGACAGGGCATTTAATAGTATTATAAAGTGTTCTAATGAATAATTAAAGTTAATCTTTTATCTTTTCAGTGTTCTTGAACCCCTGCCCTGCACGCACACACACACACCACACTTTGCGTTGCTACATCCTTTATTGTTTCTAATGTATTTGTTTGCTTACTTGCTTATTCTCAGAATTTAACTGCCATGGACCTCCCAGTTATCCGACTGAATTAGGGTCCAATCCTGCACCACTAAGTCAAAGAGCGTGTTGATGATGTTTTAATGACATTTTAATGACGTTCTTCTGGACTTAGGGACCTGTACGACTTTTCAGCTATGGCCAACGCTCACAGCCACATTTTCAAAGCACCCCAGAAAGATGCACCCTTACACATTGGATGGATTCTGGGGAATGTGCCCATATGGCATTGATATGTGCAAAGCAGGTAACAGCATGTGCAAGGGCTATTTGCATTGGCAGCCCCCCTTCCCCCCCCCCAATTTGCAGGTGCAAATGTGTGTATGCGCATTTTTGTGGGCACGATGGTTGCATCCAGCTTAGAGCATTTGGCCCTGTAATCAGAAGGCTGACAAGAGAATCGGCATCAGAGGGCTAATGATTAAAATAATTAAAAATTGGAAGGACACAAAAGAAAATCCGTGGCCGTGTGGAGTTGTGCCAGGGTAACCGGGGTGTTTTGAAACTTCAGGAAACTTGGTCCTGCTCAGGGCCGGCTCTGGCTTTTTGGCTGCCCCAAGCAAAAAAAACACGGGGCGGCCAGAACGGCAAAGCAAAAAAACCCCTGCAGCGCGGCCGGAGCGCGGGTGCAGGGGGACCGGCTGGGGGGGGGGGGTTCCAACTCAGACCCGTCCAGGGGGACAGTGCTAAGGCACTCTGCCTGACAAACTGGGATTCGAATGGCCACTCATCAACCACCAATCACCCCTTCCCTCTTGTCTCCACTTGCTCTCCAGTCCCTGCCTTGTCCATGTGCTGCTGGTACCTTCATGGCCCTGCGCTGACTTTCGCGCCATCTCCTTTGATGCAAAGGATGCTGGGGCATGTAGGGAACTAAATGTGCCATTACACAAGTCAAAGCAGAAATATGGAAAACCTGAAGTGACAAGGAAAGGGGACATGGCACACTTGTGGGGAGAGGGGAGTAGTGTGTGAATTTGGATAGGGTAAGGGGCACATCTCATCCCAGTCAATGCTGGTCAGGCTCACCCTGTTTTTGTGGTGAGTTGAGTTTACATGCAATTTTGCTAACTTGTGTCTATCCGATACATATGTGATGGCTCCTATACCTGTCAATGTATGCTCTTGGGGGCTTGCAGGAGTCGATGTATTTTGGGCTATGTTCAAGGACTCACATGTGAGTTAGAGGATGTGTTCTTTGCTATTTCTGTTTCATTTGGTTGGCCTTTTTAAAAAATAAAACACTTGGAGATGGGTCCAGACAGGAGCCCCGAATCCAAGCTCTTATGAATGTTCTGTTCAGATAACCCTCCAGCACCTGGATTCAAAACCATAGAGGGCCCATTTTCCTGGTCAGGTTTGGATGCTGCTGAAATCTTGTGACAACAGCTCTTGGAGCAAGATCCGGGCCCAAGAGAGTGGAAACCTCTTGGGAAGAGATGAATTGATGAAATTTCAGTCTTTGGGGCTGAAATGTCATGAAAACAAGTTGCCAAATTTCAGCACGGCTGAATCTGAACCCAAATTTGCTAACACTGGCCTAAGCCTCATCTGGATCTGGATGTGAACATCACTTCTCTGTGTCACATCTAATACCACTCATACTGACCCACCAACCAGGAAAAAACCAACACATCAATAAAAGGAATCCAACAGAGATGACAGCTGAGGAGGAACCAGAGAAGGAAATGAAGCAGTCCAGGCTTCAGGATTATTCGGGATGATGACACATTCCTAGGACTAAACTCTGCCACAGCTAGACCTGCCCAACCCCATGGGTGGGACTGAGGGCAAGGAGTTAAGCCCTCTTGTTTACGACCTATAGGGAAATGCCAGCAACGGGGCCAAATCCTACTCTAGTTACATGCCTCTGTGAAAATCAATGAGGCTGCTCTTGTGTTCCTGGATCCTGCTTCAGCAAATCTTTGAACACATGAGTAATCCCATTGCATCAGTGGGACCAGTCTGCTGTTGAAAGTTAGGCAAGCGTTTACGTTTCTTTTGTGATTTTTGGCCATCAGTCTTTTAGCATACAGAACAGACTGTCCTCAGCTTACAGCCTTGTGCTAAGTTAGGGCTGGATGCTTTTGCCTCTTGTACTGCTGGGATTGTTCTGTTTGGTTGTTAAGTTTACAGTTCTGCCAGTCCTGGGCATTCAAAAATCCTAAATCAGATCCTCCCATAATCATGAGCTTGGCTAAAAAAAATCATGAGATTTTAAAAAGAATTATACATTTCAGGGTCTTTATATTTGCCTTCTATTTACTGAGCGTTTAGGGTTGCACTCGCTTCATAATTTTCTCCACAAACATGAGGTCTTAAAAACTTACTATTTTTTTTAAAACAAGAACAGAGAGTCTCCTATAATCACAGGATTCCAGGAGCTGGGGCTTAAAGAAAACACCAAATATGGCAAGACTCACGGTACAATCAAGAGAGTTGACAACACTGAGTCTAGTTCATAGCCAGTTGTAGATGACTCTGCTTTATATATACGGGCGTATGCAAGGCACGTTTACAGCTGCTAATAAAGAGACATTAGTTTTGTCATTATATGGGCCAGATGCTTGGCTGGAGTAAATTGTCAGAGTCCTACCGGAGTCCAAGGAGCTACATATATTTACACCAGCTGAGGATCTAGACCGTGAGGTCTTTGCTCACACTTCCTGGGCCAGATCTTGAGCTGGGGTATATATGTGTAGCTCCATCCCTGTGTTTTGTTTACAGCTCTTTCTTTGCAAGAGCTCCCCAGCACCACCGTGGGAACTGCGGAAAGATTCACCTCCCTGTTTTACAGCAAATCCGCAGGGACACAGGTGTTTCAACTCCAGAGGCATGCAGTGTCCTTTCCTGCTTCTCCCAGCCCTGCCACACACCCACATGCAAATCATGTGCGGTATTAAAAGCCTTAAGGAGCAAGGGGTGATTAATGCACTCAAGAGATCTTGTAACCCGGGAAACCTATTTGTGCTTGTGCAATATCGCTAATGACACTGTGTCCCTCCTGCTAAGGAGGGGATTTCACACCTGAACACATAAGCAGATGGCAAACCATGAATCACAGCAGCTGACACACAGGCTCATTTGCCCCATTTACAGGCGGAGCTGTGAAAGGGGGATCCAGATTGAAATCTGGAGCCAAACTTTCCCAGCGTTTGGGAGAGAGTTTCAGGGCTGGAGTTTTGAACTGATCTTCTGTCTCTTTTTATGGAAAGCCCTTTCAAACAGCCGGAAGGGCTGTTGGACAGGGCTTACTTATGCTCGAGATGTGCATTTATTTTTTTTTCTGTCAAGAAGATCAGCAAAGCAATAAATAGCTCCCAAGGGGGCTGCCTAGGTGAAGTTCAAATGCAGACTCAAGGAGCCACGTTTTTCAACCCAGCCTTTACAGTTGTGCCGGCAGTTTTGCCCAGGCAAATCCCTGCTTTTGCATGTGCACATTGCAGCTGTGGGTGCTGATCAGGTGATGAGATGTGTACGTAATCACAGGGCTTCAACAAGCAACCGTGGGTGATTTTTGCCTGCTCCCAAATTCTGGGCGCACACAGAGTGTGCTCCTAGAGTTAAAAAGAACAGGAGTACTTGTGGCACCTTGGAGACTAA